CTGCCCACCCCTTCCAGCCTGCCTGACTTTCCCGAACCTCCGTTCGGTTCTCGGCTCAGCCCCCGGCGACTCGTGCTGATGGCGCTTATGGGCCGGTGTCCGGACGAGGCCCCACCCCCGGGGCACCCATCAGGCCCCAGCTCCAATATCAGCGCCCTCGCGGGTCGCGGGAGCCGCAGGTTCAGATTCCCGGCCGGGCCACGCTCTCCGGGACGGGGACTACGAGTTCCCAGCTTTGCAGGCGTCTCCTCAGGACGTTGGTGGCCGAATTTGGGAGTAGTGACCAGGAGATGCCGAGTGGTGACGGCAGTGACGGTGATAATGATAATAAACGACCTGAGTTTCAGTGGTCTGTGTGTGCTGGCGGTTTGTTTTTTACCAGATGCTGAGCGATTGTTATCTTACTAAAGATGCAAAACAGACTTACCACTTGAGCATTCTTGATTCTTGTACTCCATTTTACAGATGTGGAAATTTAGGAATTAGGGAACTTTGCTACAGTCACAGAAAGCAAGTAATGGCAGAACGGGGATTCAAATTTGGTTTTGCCTCATGTGAGAACGCATAGTCTAAACATTGCGCTGCGTTTTTAGCTGAAAAGAGGCTTATGACGTAACAGACATATTGAATGTCTATGTGTTTGGCACCCTTTGCACAACTATCTCATGAAGGAGACACTGAACTCTTTATGTGTTGTAGAAGAGGATGCACTCATATTTTTCGGTCAGTCCAAATATTTGAATTTGGGCAAACTACTTAATCTCTCTGTGTTTCTGTTTTCTCAAATATAAAACAGGGCTATTGATCTCTACTTTATGCAGTGGTGAGGCTTTAAAAGTGATACGTATACACTTAGGTTAGTATTGTCCGTATAAGATGCCTTTGGCAAAAACCAAGCACTGTCAGCAGTGTGGAATGAAGAATCTTATCTCCCTTTTATTCTGTTTAATTTTTCATCATATTTTAATTATCTGAAGTTATATTCGTTTTCTCTTTTCTTTTCGTTAGTGTTACCTCCGCGGAAGCAGGGACTTGTGTTGAGTTTTGTTCCTTGTTATATGCTCAGTAGCTAGAGTAACGCCTGGCGTGAAGTGTTCAGTAAACACTCTGTTGAATGGTAGGATGAGCAAACAAATTTGAATCTGGCGTGGTTGATTATGAAGCTTAGCTTCTCTGCCATTGAAGCTTGTAGCGCCCCCCCCCCAAAAAAAAGAATCTTGAGGTTTGCAATGAGTGTTCATCTCCTTCCAGGTGAAGGTGCTGAAGGAAAAGATAGAAGCTGAGAAGGGTCGTGATGCCTTCCCCGTGGCTGGACAGAAACTTATTTATGCTGGCAAGATCCTGAGTGATGACGTGCCCATCAGGGACTATCGCATTGATGAGAAGAACTTTGTGGTCGTTATGGTGACCAAGGTGGGTGAAGGGTGCTGGTTGGGAGGGTGGGTGAATTAGCTGGGGAGCTGACAAAGAGCCAGTGTGCCCAGGAGAGATTAGCTGTGAATAGGGCGGGGCTGAGATGGGGTGTTGGGGCTAGATAGGGGTATTGATGCCTGCTCCTTTTTCTGGGTGTCACAGGCCAAAACCAGCCCAGGCACCTCAGTACCCCCAGAAGCCTCACCCACTGCTGCCCCGGAGTCCTCCACATCCTTTCCTCCGGCCCCTGCCTCAGGCATGTCGCATCCCCCACCTACTGCCAGAGAGGACAAGAGCCCATCGGAGGAATCAGTCCCCACGACATCCCCGGAGTCCGTGTCAGGGTAAGGCCAGGGAGCAGAAGCCCCAGCTTGGGCCCTGTCCTCCCAGCACCTTCCAACACATACATGTTCCTGCATACTTGGGGGAGGGCAAGCCGCCAGAAGCCAGGGTCCGATTTCTCTCTCTTGAATTTGCAGCTCTGTTCCCTCTTCAGGTAGCAGCGGGCGAGAGGAAGACGCGGCATCCACGCTAGGTGGGTGGGTGGTCCCCAGGGCAGAAGCAGTTGGGTGCCCCAGCCAGCAGCTGGGCCTTGTGTGGGTGTGGGAGGGCCTGGGAGCTACCCTTCCCCCTCCTTGGTGACCCAGGCCTTGCTGCTCCCTCCACAGTGACTGGTTCTGAGTATGAGACGATGCTGACAGAGATTATGTCCATGGGATATGAGCGGGAGCGGGTCGTGGCCGCCCTGAGAGCCAGCTACAACAACCCCCACCGAGCCGTGGAGTATCTACTCACGGTGAGGTGGGGCTGCTCCCTCCTGGGGAGGCCTCAAGGGAGTACATGGGCTTACGTGCCCTGATGGGTGGTCAGGGAGGCAAAACCTGCCCTCAGGAGTGTTTGGGTTGTGGTTCCAGCCAGGAAAGCCTTCCTGGAGGAGCCTGGACATGAGTGGTGGGGTGGGTCTGTGGAGGGCAGGGCCGAGGCCTCACCCGTCTTCTGCCAGGGCTGAGCATGCAAAAGGGAGGCAGCGGGCAGTCTGTGCATTAGAACTAAATAGGACCCCTGACAGGGAATTCCTGGGAGCCCCGAGCCAGAACATAGTTCTGTCCAGGAGAGCCAGGTGTCGGAGCAGCCAGCCACAGAAGGAGGTGAGTGGATTGGGAGATGTGCATGTGGGGTGTCTGCTGTCAAAGTGTTGGGACTCCCCCACCCCAAGCTTCTGGGAGTCCAGCATGGTGTCTGAATACACACCTTTCTCCTGCCAGCAGGAGAGAACCCCCTGGAGTTCCTGCGGGACCAGCCCCAGTTCCAGAACATGCGGCAGGTGATTCAGCAGAACCCGGCACTGTTGCCTGCCCTGCTCCAGCAGCTGGGCCAAGAGAATCCTCAGCTTTTGCAGGTGCGACCCTGGGGATGGAGGGAGCCAGGGCCCCAGAAAGCTAGCCTGGCCCAGTGTGGTATGTGGGAGTCCCTCTGTATTTGGAAAGCAGGGCTAATGACAACCCCCTGCTGCTCTATACAGTCTAATGCTCTGCCTGGTTTCATGTCATTTTCTCAAACACCTCATGAGGTGTGGGTGGTGGTGTCATTGTCCCACAGAGGAAGATGCCAGAGGTCTGGAGCAGTCTTGGCAGCTGGTATTGTGTGTGTCTGCCTCCAGCCTCTGGGTCCTTTGCTCTGCCTTCTGGGTCTTTCGGCTCTGGCTTGGCCTCACGTACAGTTAGTGCATCCTCAGTGTCCACGGGGTTGCATGGCACCACCCAGGACCAGTGTGTCCCAGTTGGCTCTGGGACCACGGTGCTCAGCAAGGCTCCATCCTGCCCTTGAAGGTTCCTGTGCAGAGGGGCAGTGGCTCCTGGGTGTGACAGGGTTTTCTGGATCCTCTGTAAAGGCCTGCCTCTCCTGGTTTAGGGCCTGGCGTCCACTGCTGCTGCACTTCTCAGTCTCTTGTGCTGCGTCCTGCTTACCGTCTCTGGTGTTACAGGGCTCAGGCTGCACACCTTCACTCCTTTTCTCTGTTTAGTGTTCCCTCTGTATCACCTTGAGTGATGATGTTCCCCCCCAGATTGATGTAACCAACCTGAACCTCCAAATGCCACGCTTATCCATGGCTGACTTGACACAAGCATGAAAATGCTTTGTAGGTGTCTTAAGGCTTCCGAGCAGATCCTCCTCAGCCCTCCCCATCCCTGCAAAGACCAGCCTGGGGTTGCTTGAGCCTCAGGCCCTGTGCACCTGCTGGGGTCGTCCATCACCTGTCTTGCCAGAACATCTCACTCAGCCCAGCCCTGCACTCAACCCCTGTGGCTGCCACCTCAACTCCCACCCAGTTCCCTGGCAGCCACCCCCCCAGGCTTTGGCCTCTGCATAGCCCCCATTGTCCATTCTCCACCAGGAGCCAGGTTCCTGAGAAACCACTTTTTGAGGTGAAGTTAAAGTCAGACGTACGTAAAAGTAGAGTTGTAGAGAGTTGTAGAACCCCAGATGTGCAACACCCAGATAAATTAGTCTTTTTAAAATGTACACTGGATCACGTCTTGCTTTATTTAACTATCACTGTGGTGTCTTTTCATACTAGAAGGCAATAGAAGAAAGCAGGTCTGGTCTTTGCCTTCCTCTCTTTGTTTTGTCCCCCTTCTGTTGTTTACTTTGTTCCTGCCACACGGATCTTCTGTTTTCTGGGATTTGTCAGGTGCATTTTTATCTCCAGGCCTTTGCACTTACTGTTCTATCTGGAGGGAACTTCCCTTCCCATCCTGCAGATCACAGGCCCCTCTTTCCTGGCCTGCAGGATTTTTTCTAGTCCAGTGTTTGCCCTACTGTATGCGAGGCCCACTATTTCTATTGTAAATAATTACCCATTTATTTGTTTATAGCCTGTCGCCCTGCCCTGGAACATCAGCTCTACCAGGACAGGGCCTGTATCCACTACTGTGTTGCTGTTTGGCCAGAATGGGCACCCTCTAACTATGTGCTGAGGGAATGAAAAAGCAAGGCTGTGATAGGGACCTGGTGGGGGTGGGGTGGGTGGGCATCAAGGGCTGTGGGTCACAGTCCCTTCCTGTCTCCCACAGCAAATTAGTCGGCACCAGGAGCAGTTCATCCAGATGCTCAATGAGCCCCCCGGGGAGCTGGCAGACATCTCTGATGTGGAGGGTGAGGTGGGCGCCATAGGTGAGGAGGCTCCGCAGATGAACTACATCCAGGTGACACCACAGGAGAAAGAAGCTATAGAGAGGGTAAGAGGCCTGGCTGAGGGGTGACCTCCCTGATGGGCAGGGCCCTGAGGCCCTGCTGATACCCATCCATCTTCCTGCAGTTGAAAGCCTTGGGCTTCCCAGAGAGCTTGGTGATCCAGGCCTACTTCGCTTGTGAAAAAAACGAGAACTTGGCTGCCAACTTCCTTCTGAGTCAGAACTTTGATGACGAGTGATGCAGGGAGGCCAGGCGACCCCCCAACCTCCCCACCCCCCAACTCCACAAAAGTTTTATAAAAGAAAAAAATATATATATATTCATGTTTATTTAAGAAGTGGAAAAAAATAAAAAACCTTAAAAAAAAAACCACCCCGATTTCCCACCCTCCTCAAGTGGCCCCCATTCCCATCTTGGCCTGAGAAGACCTAGGCCAGACAGCTGTCCCCCATCCCCCGCCCCAGCCCTGCCTGCTCTAAGAAACTGGCAGGACTGGAGGCGACAGATGGGCCCCTCTTGGCCTCTGTCCCAGCTCCCTGCAGCCAGATGGAGAGGCGGCTGCTTGCTTCCCCCTCCCCCGAAGAGCCCCTGAGACCTCCCCCCGCCTTCTTCCAGGGTGAGGGGAAGCTGGAGCCCCAAACCTTGATCCTCCATTGGAGTGCCCCAACCTTTCCATCTGGGGTAAGCACTCAGAGGCTCAAGGACCGCCCCCCTCCCCAGTCTGGCCTGCATCCCTTCGCTGGAGAGGAGGCCTGGTTTCTCCTGCCTGGGGAGGGGGTAACACCAGAGCTGCTCTGGAGGTCAAGGCCACCCCCCCACCCCACCCCCCGCCCCAAGGACAGAACCGTGTCTCTGATAAAGGTTTTGAAGTGAATAAAGTTTTAAAAGCCAGTCCTGTGGTGTGTGCCTACTGGGGCTTCCTGCTCCAGCTTGTCTGTGTCTGGGGGCTAGTTGGGCACAGGTGACATGGCCGTGCTGAGAAGGGGGCAGAGTGGTCTGTCAGCCTCGGCAGATTGGGGCTCCCAGTGTCTCCACACCCCCCCTTGAGGCTATCTCATTCCCAGGCAGTGGGCCCCAGCCCCAACTTAGCTTTGGAAGGGCTGCTTCTCCCTGCCCCCCACCATCACCACCACAGTCTGTTTTGGCTACATTTCCCCCCCTAGTAATCGGCTAATTACCGGAGATTAATGTTGGTAAACAGAAGCCTTCTTCTCCTCTGCCATCTGCTCCTCCATTATTTCCCCATTGCATCCCCCTTCCTCCCCCTGAAGCCCCAGTGAGTCGGCGTGGCCTAGAGTCCCTGAGTGAGCAGAGCCAGGAAGGATGGGTGGGGGATTCCCTGGCCCCAGGTGTTGGGGGGCCCCGGAAGGGGTGTGATGAGCGCGGACACACAACTGTGCAGGGCCAGGGCTGTCGGGCAGCAGATTTTATTGGGAGAAGCTAGCTCAGGACCTGGGTGCCACGGAGGCTGCCGAGTCTGGGGTTGCAGCAGCAGCCAGTGCAGCAGCTCGGGCCTCCTTCTTCTGTCTTTGTTTCTCCTCCTTGAGGCGTTTGCGCTGCTGCTTCTCCAGGTCCTGCAGCAGCTCCTGGAAGCGGGCACTCCTCGGGTCCACATGGTAGCCCAGGCGTTCCTGGGCCTCAGCCTGCAGCCGGGCCCGCCGCTCCTTGTCTGCCTGCTCCTGTTCCCTGCGCTCCTGCTGCTGCCGCCGCCAGTTCTCAATCATCTGTGGCATCTTGGCCATTCTCTCTGCAATGAGCTGCTCCCTGCAGGGGAGGGTAGAGGGATGAAGACAGCAACACGCAGCCAGAAGAGGAGCACCCGTCCACCCACAGCCCAGCACCTAGTCTGCCCACATTACAACTCCCCCAACTCCCCCAGTGGAGATGAAAAACTGGGAAGACTTAGGGTGGTCATTAAAACTGTCAGGAAAAGTCCCAGACAAGTGAAGTAACAGGAGAGATGAATTAACTTGTGTGTGACCTTGAGCACAAGAGAGCTAACCCCCTTAGGAGGAGACCCCAAGTCAACTCAGCATTTCACTGAGCCATCCAAGAGCTGCACACCATATGGCCATTCCCACAGCACACTCTTTCATCCTGCAGACATCACTGAGCACCTACTGTATGCCAGGCCCAGTTGTAAAGGCAAGAAATGGATTGGACCTTTCCCTCCAATCCTGTAAGTTTGTAGGTGCCAGTCACAGCCCCATTTTAAGGATTAGAAACGTCAAGCTGAAAGATCTACCCCATGGCAGGGTTATCCAGCTAGGATTGGACAGAGACTGGGGTTCACATTCTAGCTCCAGTTTACTGCCTGGGTGACTGGACAAGTGACTCCACAAACTCTCAGGCTTCGGGTTTTCATCTCTTTAAAATGAGGGTGATGATCTCTTCCTCCTAGAGTTATTGTGAGGACCAGAACAATGAAAAGCAGGAAAACGTTTGGCCTCCCCCAACGTGCCTGCCCTCCAGGAAGTGGCACCATCCTGCTGTTCCTGGTCTTGCATTCTCCCAAGTCTATCCTTCAGACCTGTCTCCAAGTCCGACCTCTGCCCTTGACTCCAGGCCCCATCACCTCCCACTCTTCCCCAGCCACATTGACCTCCTGGTAGTTCCTTAAAGCATATTCCTACCTCAGGGTCTTTGCACCAGCGGTTCCTTCTACCAGGAACACTCCCTAAGATCTCCCCGTGGCTATGTCTGGTCATTCAGGTCTCTCAAGGATCAAGTCCTTAGGTTCCACCCACAGCCCACCACCTAGTCTGCCCACATTAGGTTCGAAGTCTCACAAACCAAAGTCGTTCTCTGGCACACACATTTTCCACCCAATTTTATCTTCCTAATGGTCCACTGCCGCCATCTGAGATTATCTTGTTCTCTGCTACGTGCTCAGCACCTGGGACAAGGCCTCGCGCACTGGAGGTCCTCAGCCCACAGCCCCGCGCCTACCCGACCGCACACACCTGGCCTGACGCTTCTGCTCCTCTGCCAGCTGCTGCACCCGCAGCGACTCCTGCATGGCCGCCAGGCTCGGGCACCATTCGCGCTCCTCAGCCTCCAGTTCGCGCAGCTGCTCCCGCGACGGCCATAGCGAACCGGCGGCCACCCCGGAGGCGGCGCCGTGCCGCGCGAACTGCTTGGCCGCGTAGCGCGGCCCCAGCTGCCAGCGCGGGGTCAGCGGGTCGTCCGGGTCCGGCCACCAGGGCCCTGGCGAGCGGCGTGGGGGCGGCGGCGCCCGGTAGTCACGGGGGCCCCGGCCCAGGATCGCCGGCAGCTCGAGCAGGCTGCGCGCCCGCCGCACGGGCACCGCCATCTTGGCTGTGCGGGGTCCTCGCGGGCCGGCCGGGCTGGCCACAGCACTGCCTGCGCGCGAGGTCCGATGGCAGCCTGGGCGGGGCGAGGGGCGTCCCTGCTGCCGCAGTTCCGGGCAGGGGAGAGAAGGGGCTAATAAATGTTTTATACATCTTCAAGTATAATTTAAAATTTTATTTTAGCAGGTATTTATTAAAATCTCAGTAAAATTTAATTTTATACATTTAAAGTAGCATTTGATTTTTTATTTCCATAATTTAAATGTCTAAATTTTAAACAACCATTTATTTAAAAATTTAAATATTACTTCAGTTTGAAGTTTAATCTACATATTACTTTATATTTTATTTTATTTTTACATATTACTTTATATTTTAAATATTTAGAATCTTTTACAGACGTTCGTTAAAATATTTAAATTTCATTTTAAATACTTGAGTATTGTTCATAACATTAAATATTTTTTATGCTTTATTTTATGCTTTTAAATTAGATTTTTAATATCTCAAGATTTTTATTTTAAAGAATTATATAAAAACCTTACCTAGACAATTTTAAATATTTAAATTTCTACTTACAATATTTAAAGTTGTATGATTATTTAAGGTATTTATGTAGAAATTTTATTTTAAATTTTATTGTAAACATTTTGTTACTTTATGCCTTTTCATTTAATTTTTCATATTTAAAAATGTTTAAAATGTTTGATCAAGGTGTAGCAATAAACAGTATTTCTTAAAAAACAGGGTTTCAACCTTAAAAAGGAAGGAAATTCTGTCTCATGCTACAACATGGATGAACCTGGAAGACATTATGCTGAGTGAAATAAGCCAGTCACAAAAGAACATATATCATGTGATTCCATTTATATGGGGTCTTTGGAGTAGCCAAATTCATAGAGACAGAAAGTAGAATGGTGGTTGGCAGGGACAGAGGAGACAAAGAATGGGAGTTAGCTTTTAATGGGGACAGAGTTCCTGTTTGAGAAGATGAAAAAGTTCTGGAGACACATGGTGATAATGGTTGCACAACAATGTGAATGTGCTTAATAGCACTGAACAGTACACTTGAAAATGATTAAAATGGTATGATTTATGTTATATACATTTTATCACACACACACACACACGCACACACACACACACACGAATTGCGGTTTGCTGGGTGAACTAGGAAGCCTGGAGAAGAATGTTCGTAATTTAGAACCGTGGCATATACATCATTTATGTCAATCCCAAGCTGGAAACAGCCGGCACCGAGTCCATTCACAGGAGAATGGAGACCTCAGTTTTGATGTTTCAACCAACACCAATACTACACAGGAATGCAAGAGCAGAAATTACAGCTGGGTGTAATCTCAGCGTGGGTGATTCCCAGGGACCTCATCTGCAACGAAGGAGGCAGGGCCCAAGAGATTCCTTTTCATAAGGGAATGTTTTTCACTGCGTAAAGTTTACACAAATTGTCCTTTTTATGTAAAGTGGAAAAATCCTGGTGTCATTATGGATGCACACCTTTAGCAGTAAAGGATAAAGATTATTCTGGAAATCAAGATGGGACACCTCTGGTGGGGATGAGGGGGCATCTGGGTAGTGGTCATGTGGGGGGGGATGAGGGTCACTTGGTAATAGGTCACTGAGCTGGACATTCTTGTTCTGTTTGCTTTTCGCCAAGTGGACTGTATTTAATGTTATCTCTTTTTTTTAAGATTTTATTTATTTGTCAGAGAGAGCAAGGGAGCACGAGCAGGGGGAGGGGCAGAGGGAGAAGCAGGCTCTGCACTGACCAGGGAGCCCGATGTGGGACTTGATCCCAGGACTCTGGGATCATGACCTGAGCTGAAGGCAGATGCTTAACCAACTGAGCCACCCAGGCATTCCTAATGTTACTTCTTTTTTCTTTTTTAAAGATTCCATCCATTTATTTGACAGAGAGAGACACAGCCAGAGAGGGAACACAAGCAGGGGGAGTGGGAGAGGGAGAAGCAGGCTCTCCACTGAGCAGAGAGCCCGATGCGGAGCTCGATCCCAGGACCCTGGGATCATGACTTGAGCCGAAGGCAGACGCTTAATGACTGAGCCACCCAGGCGCCCCCGGGGGCCCATTATTAACTCAGGAAATCAATGAGGTGGGTTACAACTAGCATTTATTTGTTTATTTCTAGGTTTACAATTAAGGGGAGAATGGCTCATAGAAAACTTTTTATTTCAAAAATTATTTGTTTAAAAAATTGTGACAAAACACAAAACATAAAATTTACCACCATCATCATTTTAAAGTGTGCTATTCAGTGGCGGTAAGCACATCCACACTGTTGCTCAATCATTACCACCAACCAGCTCTAGAACTTTGTCATCTTGCAAAACAGAAACTGTCCCTGTTAAACACTAACTCCTCATTCCTCCCTCCCTCAGCCCCTGGCACCCACCATTCTATTTCTGTCTCTATGAATTTGATGACTCTAGGGACTTCATATCAGGAGAATCATACAGCATTTACCCTTTTGTGACTGGCTTATTTCACTTAGCATAATGTCCTCAATAACGTCCCCCTTGTAGCATGTGTTAGAATTTCCTTCG